TTTGCAAAGATGAAGGAACATAAAGAACTGAGTTTAGTTTCAAGACAGAAGTTACCTGAACATGGAACAGAGCAAAATAAATTCTTAAGTAAGGAGAGAAATAATTGGTTGACATACCCGAAAATCTTTCCTGCATTTTCCCTACCCAAAACACCCAGTGCCTGTGATAATCTTCATCTGAGGAATCTGTGACACTTTCCCAACCACTTGAGCCTCTCTCAAGCCTACTGACTTTTTTTCAGTAGCATAACCAGATCTCTGCCTGAGACTTAGAATCATAGAATCATAGAACAGTTAGGGTTGGAAAGGAATTTAAGATCAAGTAATCCCAGGCACTTAAAATCAAGCAATCCCAGGCACAGCTACAGGTTGGGCAGAGAAGAGATTCAGAGCAGCCCTGCGGAGAAGGACTTGGGGGTGCTGGTTGATGAGAAAATGAACATGAGCTGCCTTCAGTGTGCGCTTGCAGCCCAGAAAGTCAACCATATCCTGGGCTACATCAAAAGGAGGGTGACCAGCAGGTCGAAGGAGGTGATCCGGCCCTTTTACTCTGCTCTTGTGAGACCTCACTTCGAGTATTGTGTGCAGTTCCGGTGTCCCCAACATAAAAAGGACACGGAACTGTTGGAACAAATCCAGAGAAGGGCCACGAGGATGATCAGGGGACTGGAGAACCTCCCGTATGAAGACAGGCTGAGGAAGTTGGGGCTGTTCAGCCTGGAGAAGAAAAGGCTGCGTGGAGACCTCATAGCAGCATTCCAGTATCTGAAGGGATCCTATGAGGATGCTGGAGAGGGACTCTTCATTAGAGACAGTAGCGACAGGACAAGGGGTAACGGGTTAAAACTTAAACAGGGGAAGTTTAGGTTGGATATAAGAAGGAAATTCTTTCCTGTTAGGGTGGTGAGGCACTGGAATAGGTTGCCCAGGGAGGCTGTGAATGCTCCATCCCTGGCAGTGTTCAAGGCCAGGTTGGACGAGGCCTTGGGTGATATGATTTAGTGTAAGGTGTCCCTGCCCATGGCAGGGGGGTTGTAACTAGATGATGTTAAGGTCCTTTCCAACCCTAACTATTCTGTGATTCTATGATTCTATAAGTTCCAACTCACACTAAACTATGTCAACCAAGACACCGTCCAACCTAGTCTTGAACACTGCCAGGAATGGAGCATTCACAACTTCCCTGGGCAACCCATTCCAGTGCCTCACCACACTCACAGTAAAGAACTTCCTCCTTATATCTAATCTAAACTTACCCTGTTTAAGTTTGAACCCGTTACCCCTTGTCCTGTCACTACAGTCGCTAATGAAAAGTCACTCCCCAGCATCCCTATAGGCCCCCTTCAGATACTGGAATGCTGCTATGAGGTCTCCACACAGCCTTCTCTTCTCCAGGCTGAACAACTCCAACTTTCTCAGCCCGTCTTCATACGGGAGGTGCTCCACTCCCCTGATCATCCTTGTGGCCCTCCTCTGGACTTGTTCCAACAGTTCCATGTCCTTTTTATGTTGAGGACACCAGAACTGCACACAATACTCCAAGTGGAGTCTCACAAGAGCAGAGTAGAGGGGCAGGATCACCTCCTTCGACCTGCTGGTCATGCTCCTTTTAATGCAGCCCAGGATATGGTTGGCTTTCTGGGCTGCGAGCGCACACTGCCGGCTCATGTTGAGTTTCTCATTGACCATCACCCACAAGTCCTATTCCACAAGGCTGCTCTGAATCTCTTTTCTGCACAGCCTGTAGCTGTGCCTGGTATAGGACCTTGCACTTGCCTCTGTTGAACCTCATGAGGCTGGCATTGGCCCACCTGTCAAGCATGTCGAGGTCCTTCTGGATGACATCCCTTTCCCTCCAGCATATCAACCAAACCCCATAACTAAGTGTCATTGGCAAACTTGCTGAGAGTGCACTCAATCCCATGTCTCCAACAAAGATGTTGAACAGGACTGGTCCCAGCACCGATCCCTCAGGGACACCACTCCTCATCGGCCTCCCTTTGGACATTGAGCCATTGACCACAACACTTTGCTTGTGGCCATCCAGCCAATCCTTTAACCACCGAGTGATCCATCCATGAAATTGATTTCTCCAGTTTAGAGACAGGGATGTCATGTGGGACAGTGTTGAACGCTTTGCCCATGTCCAGGTAGATGACATCAACTGCTTTACCCCTGTCCATCAGTTCCATAGAGCCATCATAGAAGGCCACCAAATTGTTCAGGCAGGATTTCCCTTTAGTGAAGCCATGTTGGCTGTCACCAACCACCTGATTTTTTTTTATGTGCCCTGGCATGTTTTCTAGGAGAATCTGTTCTGTGGTCCTGCCAGGCACAGAGGTGAGACTGACTGGTCTGTAATTCCCTGGGTCATCCATTTTCCCCTTCTTGAAAGGGGGCATTATATTTCCCTTTTCCCAGTCATTGGGAACTTTATCTGACTGCCATGATTTTTCAAATATGAAGGACAGTGTCTTAGCAACTTCATTCGTCAGCTCTCTCAGGACCCGCAGATGGATTTCATCAAGTCTCATGGACTTGTGCATATTCAGAGTCCTAAGATGATCTCAAACCTGATCCTCTCCTACAGTGGTCCCAAGGTCTTCATTCTCACAGTCCCTGCGTCTGCCTTCCAAGACCTGTGTGGTGTGGTCATTTGCCAGTGAAGACCGAGGTAAATGAAAGGAAACTTTTCTCCCTTCCATGCCCTGTCAGTGCCATTATTCCCAAGGATGGATTTGAGCTGTCTCTGTCACTGCACCTGTAAGTGAAAAATAAGTTACATACTCTGAAAACCCAGTGAAGAGCCTGCAGTCCTTGTTGTGTCCCATGGACCAGGGTTGATTTGACACAGAAAACATAGCTGTCCTCCAGCCTTACTCTAGCTTGTGCAAAGTGAATTATTCTTCATCAGCATCATGATCTTCAACCTTGAGAAACTGAATTTATCTGGTCTTGATTCAAATTAAATTAATGTCACTCCGAGTGAATGGTTGTATGTGACAGGCCTTTTAAATTAAATCTTTTTTCTTCAAATTGTCTGTTATCTTCTACTTATAAACCAAAATTGAATATTAAGTATGGGCTTAGTGTAGCTATTAATCATTCAGCTAGATAAACCCACTAGCAAACTGTGAATAACTGTAAATAAAATAATAGCTTTGCTACATACTACATCTTAGTTCCATGTAGACTGGCTATAACAGACAAAACAAGAGCTGTTGCAAAGTGTAAGGAAAAATTTGCTAGTTTTGCATTAACGCAAGGTACACAAACATAATCACTATACAAGCTCTAATTATTATTACTTGTTATTTTGCTTACTCTGACACACACAGCTCACTTGCTGCTGGGTTCTAGATTCTCAGGGCTGTTTTATTTAATAAGAACTTCACATAAAATTAATATAGGGTTTTATTTTCTCAAATAGATTACCAACAGGACAGTTGACATTCTCACCTGGTGAGTCTAATGATACTTACTGCTGGTCCAGTATTATAAGGGTAATCAGTAAAACTTAAACTATCATTTCCACTTGGGCACTTGCATCCAAAGTAGATGTGGCAGAGGTGGAAATTGTCCCCTGACCTCCTTTGATGGATATTTTTGCCAGTTAGAGACAGGGGAAATTGCAAGCCTTCAAAATCAAAACACTGAGATGAAATGGCTATTGAAGTAATTTAAGCTTGTCAACTTTATTTTTTCGCCTTTTTTAGTGGTCAACCTCTGAAACATAGCAAAGGGAAGAAAAGGGGAAAGAGGCATTATGTGATTAAGAAAAGCAAAAAACTTGAGAATTCTTGACCCATTCTTCAAATTATGCACACACACAACACACCCCACCCCCCCCCCGAAGACATTTTGCTCAGTGTTCAAGAGCAGAAATTATCCACAAGTCAATTTCCTGTGAAGACAAGCTTTGTTAATGTGTAGCTACCATCGTTCATCTCCCTTTACATTCAGTGAATGTTTTCTTCTTCTTCTCTCTCCTTTCTACCTTTCTGCTTTCTTACCGAAATCTCCTTTTTTGTGATACTTCTTAATGCCTCTTACCTTTACTATTCATAATTGCCCTTCTCAGGCACGTGACTAACTTAGGGCTTGTGTTACTAGTCCTTCATCATGCAGAGTACAAATCCCTTGTGATTTATTAGCTCTTTGGTTCTATTTTCTTGAGTGTGTGAGACAAACAGACTACATTGCTATTTCTTCATCATACAGGTAGAAAGATGCTAATGGAATGCGAAATTAGGAAGATCAATCTAGGATTGACTTTGCAATTGACAGCTGAAAAATAGTTTTCCCTGGACCTTTGCAATTTCCTGCCTATATTTGTTTCCCTTGAAGGTGCCTGTCTTTTCCCAGATTGGTCTATATTTTCCTTTCTAAGCCTGAGAGGAAAAGCATCTCTATAACACTATTGCTTGCAGCATTCATTTCTTCTAACTTTTCTCCTTTTCTATTTATAAGGAAAGAAGATTTGGCGAACTCAAGGACCAGCAGTCCAATCCTTTTCATGTTTCTCATAAATCAAATTCATTGTATGGCAGCTCACCTATTCACACCTTTACCAATCTTTCATGTATTTAACATTCTTACTTGTCTACTGATTATGCTATGTTACCCCAGCAAAGGGCTTCAGTATTAAATGCTCCCTTCATTTGATCACTCAGAGAATTACACTATAATGATCCTCTAATTACAGAGCTGTCATGCTGTGTTAAATCCTTTCTGTATGTGCTGTCGACTGTTTACACTGTTCTGCATGTCCTGGATTTCACATTTCCAAATATATTACAGTGATAGCTGACAACAGCATTGACAAGCATAATGTACAGTGTATGGTTATGGAAAAGAAGGGAAAGGACTTTTAAAAAGGTCTCGGAAAGTGAGAGTAAGCCAATATTGCCACAGAAGTTTTAATCAATGTGTATATTTCTATAAACCAGTTCATTCCAGTTTATATTTCTATAAACCAGTTTTTCTGTGTTTCTCCACAGTGGTTATGTCTTTGATTATGATTACTACAGAGATGATTTCTACAATCGGTATGTGTGGTTATATTTTTGTACATCCTACACCATTTCCACTGTTTGTTTATAATGTAATCACATCATTTGGTTAGACAGGTCTGTTCTGATTTTACATATTATTAATTTCATTACTTCTATTGTGCATCAGTATAAGACTATTTGAATATATCACAAAGACAGAAGATTACCACCACCAAATGCATGCATGCACATTAAACAGTTCTTTTGGTCTTATCCTTCTCTAAGAGCTTTTGGGGCATTTTCTGTGCGGAACACTTCAGTGGTAGTTTAATTGCTCAGTGTTTATCCCTACAGAATTCTTCCAGTGGAACATACAGCAGCTGTAAAATTCTTCAGCATAGCATTCATATCTTTGTCTTTTCATCCATGTGTATGAAAAGATATGAAATGTATCCTGAAAAATATGTCTTCCAAGAATGTTTAGAAGGCTAAAAGGACCTTAAGAGAAAAAAAAAAACAAACAAACAAAAAAAACCACAATATGAATAGCGTATGTGTTTCTAAAGGAGGAAAAGAAGTGTGGATACCTGAGTAACTGGAGACTTGTTCTTTGGGTATATACACACAGTCTATTTTAGGACTATGGGAATTTATTCATTTATATGTAGCAGACTCACCACAACCCAGGGTTAACATGGATGACCACAGATAACCAACCCATGATCCAGCAGTGCTGTGTCTCTGCATTACAGCAGCCTGCCTTAACATAGGCCAAGTGAGTTAAAGGGGAACAAATTATTGCTTCACCACCCTCTTTTAATCTGAGATTTCTTTTATGTAAGGAAACGGATAATAGCAGGGGAGTGGTTTCTACCCTGAAGTTAAGGTATTATGCGCTATATATTTTTCTGCTTAGAAACTCTAGGAAAAATGTAGAAATATCTTTTTTTTTTTTTTTTTGGTGGGGGAGTGTGTTTTTATTTTGTTTTGGTTTGTTTTCCTGGAGTTGGTTTAATTTGAGCTATAAATTTTGGTTTTGTATGTTAATGACCATGCTCTTTTTGGACAGAGCTAAAAATAGCAGACTATAAACATTTGGAGTAAAAGCCATCAGTGTAGTTTAATCCTGCTTAGTCTAGCTTTGACAGTAGGAGCAGCTCATGCCTGTAAAAAGTTAACTTCCATAGGCTTATGTTTACTTTCCCCAAGGTTAATGCTCTGAATTCCATCAGTGTATTTTTATGTTTTTAAAAGAGTACTGTTTCTGATCTATGCCACCTGAATATTAAAGCTATACATCTTTAGTTTTTTTCCTAATTCTGTATGTTATGGGCAGTACAAATGAACAACTATAATGGTCAAATTTCCACAATAAAATACTTATGAGATATTAAAGATAGTTTCTGTAGAACTTGGTGTCTGTCTATCTATCTTGATGATTGTCTTGTTATGGAAAACCGCTGAGTGAAATGTGTCCATAAATCTATTTAATAGTGAAACTTTCTGATGTATAATTCTTTCAGGAGAGGAAGGTATGGGGGGTAAGAGAGCAGCTGCATGGTCCTGAGTTACCATCTGGGTTTAAACCAGAACAATATGATATACTGGAAGATAGAAAAAATCACCTTTGGAATAATAATAATAAAATAATAAAATAAAAACATAAATAATAGTAATAAAAAGTTCTGAAACATTCTTTCCAGTAATGTCAAATGGAGGTTGTGGCTAACCTCCAGATCATCCAATGTGATAAATGATGAGTGACAACAAATAATAATATCTATGTTAAAAGTCCCAAAAATATTTTAGTGTTCATCTTCATACATAATTGTTTAGTTATGCTCACAATGGCTAGAAACCACTTATTCAGCAAGAGTGTTCAAGGCCACAGGGTTCAAGTTCGCGGGGGTGACATGGTCTCTGTGACACATTTTCTAGGCAGCTATGGAAAATGAAGGAGCTGGTTATATTGCCTGTAGGATTATGGTACAGAGAACAGCGAGGATCCTGGGATTTAAGCGTTAGATATTTACTTGCCAGAAAACAGGCTAGAAGAGACTTAAGTTTGATTCTGCTTCCTGTTCAGCATGCAGTTAGAGTGTGGTGAGTGAATTACTGCTTCTTGGGTATCTGTTTTCAAATGTGTATCTATATGCCCAGCTGGGCAACAGTAGTCAGAATTGTTAAAAGTAAACATGCAGTTATAAATTTCCATAGTTACTAGTTGAAAGTATCATTTGAAAGAAACTTAAGAACATTTCATGAGAATGTTGCTTGTTCCTCTGCTTCAGTCTCTGAACGGGAAATCTTAATTTTCTGAACTTTCTTCTCCTGGCCTGCAGATGGAAAGCCCGTAGGTTTTTATTTTCCAAATATATATGTAGTTTTAATCACCTTTTCTACTGCCTTTATTTTCTTCTACGCAGGTTAGTCACCTGGTGATAACTGTGGGTTTAGGATTGGGTATTCTGTTTGGGAACACTAGTTCGTTTTGGTTCCAGGATGTCTTTTATTGACTGTAGTAGTTCTCTGAATATTTATTTGCTACAGTGGTGTTTGAACAAGACTTCTTTCTATTAAGCATGCTTGGGTGTTTTAGTCATCCTACATCAATTCATTCTTCAAAAAAGAGAGCATATGCTGGGACCTCTTTTCTATGCATTCAGAAGGACATACAGGTGCCTCACTATAAATGCTCTTTTGCTATTTCAGAAACTGCAAGGTATTTCTTTATGGCAATGTTTGGCTTCAGAAAAGTTCAAATTTTTTTCTGTCTTTAAAGATGGGAGGTAGAAAACTAGAATTTAAGCCATGCATGTAATAAAGGAGATGAAATGTCACCACAACAAAATGTATTGCTACTAGCTGTGTGCAATGAAATGTTGTGGATCTGTGGAAAGCAGGTTATGGATTTTCCATGCTGCAAATAACACGGTCCCATAACGCATCCCTCATTTAAATTATACAAAAAATTTGAGGTATGCACTGGTCTGTGACTGAAATCTAAATATGGCACTTAATGTGCATAGGTCCTTGAAATCTAATTTGACTGTGATCTAAAGTGATTAGTTTCAAAGGGTAATTTTCTCAAAGATAACATAAAAATTTTGTTGACAGGGCTTCCATGACTTGAAATCATATAAGGTTTTATGGAGTCCAACTGACTTTATTTTTCTAGGTTGTTTGATTACCACGGCCGTGTCCCCCCACCACCTCGTGCAGTAATTCCACTGAAACGTCCTCGTGTGGCTGTGACAACAACTCGCAGAGGCAAAGGGGTTTTCTCCATGAAAGGAGCATCACGATCCACCTCAAGTGGGGCTTCTTCCTCAGGATCCAAATGTGAGTTGCTCATTTCAGTTGGATATTATTGAAACAATGATCCTAGTAATTTCTGCAAGCAGACAGCTTCCATTATATAGCTCTGTTGCAGTTATTTCCTACCCTCAGCCTCTAGCTTGACAAGCTGGCTTAATTACTAAAGCTGACATGCCTTTCCTGCAAGTCAAAGAGCACACTGATGTAGGTTTTGAAGTAAATCCCATCAACGTTTGACCCATTTCCTTGGCCTCATTAGAAGCCTGTTTAAAATTTTCTATCATCCTGACTGCTTATACACCACAAGGTCTTGTGAACAGCTGATAATAAAGCAAAGCTATTAATCTTGTTATAAACAAAGGCACACTGATTTCTGTGGAGACTTGAGGGTTGTATGTGAGCTGGTGGGAAGAGGGCTGGGGGCATGGGGGTGGTTGGGTTGTGTGTCCTTTTTTTGCCAGATTCCTTTTAGGGTAGAAAGAGGCAAAGTGTCTTCGCCTGTTCTAAAGGGAATCCAAATCAGGTTTGGCAATTTGGGGTTATTCAACCCTTCTTTAGTGAGTTGGCCTTAGAAGAGCTGATAAACAATAAGCATTCCCTCCTCCATGCTGACCAAGAACCCCACTCCATAGTATGTCCTGGGAACTTCATCTTCCTCTTCGTGCATCTTTCAGCACCCACCTGTCTTCCCCTGCCCCTTATGTGGAGTGATACTGTCCTTGGAAGCGTCACTGGAAGAGGAAGAGAAAGATCAGGTAGGGATCAGATATTAGAAAGAATGAAGGGACTTCAATAAGACACTTGGAGTGCCAGACGGGCTAACAAAGCATCATACTAACAAAGCACAATCATGAAATAAGTGAATCCACCAACAGTGCACCTTACTGCAAAAGGGAATAATTATGGCATCGATATGAGCCAATTATATACTCTTAACATGCCCAAATCTCACACATTAGCATCTAACAAAGAAGATGGACCTCCAGTGAGCCCACTAATCTCCATTCTTGCTCCTATTGTATGAACTGATGGTATCAGAGACCTCCAAAGGAGAAATGCAATAAACATGCATGTGACTGAAAGAATGTAAATGCGATAAACAGAGCTAATGTTGTACACTGTGACATAAGAAGCTCAAGCAATTCCTTAGAAAGGATAATGTTCTGAGAAAGAAAGGCTCTGTTGTCTGTATAGCTGAATCACACACAAGTCTCCAGAGAATGAGCTGGCTATATGAACATTACCAGAGGCTGGAGCTTTGATAGTTAGCACACAGGAAGACATTTCAATTTAGGTCCAATATTATGGAGCTCACATGCAGCCTAAGAGGATGCTTGGGAGTAGCAACACTTCCTTTGTTCTCTGGATGATAGACATCTTCATACACATCTTGAACTAATCCACTGTTTATAGGTATTTTTTGTCTTTTCTCAATACTTTAAGTAATGAATTATGATGAACATTAATTATATTAATTTAAAAGAAAGCATACAGCTCAATATCTTTACTTTAGTAGACATAGAATTGAAATTGTTTCTATAGTCTTTTCCAGCCCTTGGGGCTTTGGGTTTTCACACAGTGAATCAAAGCTTTAGTAAGTATATGTACTTGCAGATACATTCATTAGATCTCCTTTTTTCATCCTTTACTGTTGTCTTATCCATATAAAAAACTAGTAGTATCAGTCATTCAATTCACTAATTTTCCTAAAGCATAGTCTAATAAGAATAGACTTTTTGGACTCACTTTTCCCTGAGAATGCAAATTATGTTTAGATAAGTTTTTTTTATATACATACTTCTCATTGTTCAGAATCAGAATAACTCAAAAATTCTTCTAGAGAGCTGAGGACCTTAGTATGTCCCAATAGATGTCAAGGAAATCTCTCACCCAGAAATCTGGGTTTTCATTGTAGTGAATGGGACAGAACATATAGCATTAGCATATAGATACCTGTTCCTCATAATAATCACCAAATTTGCTTTATTATTTATACTGCATTTCAGAAAATCTTCTGTAGTACCATGTGAAGATTTAAGTAATGCATAACATAGATTAGAGGAATCATCCCTAGTCTGAGTACCCACAGCCACTTGATATAAGACCTCCAAAACACTGTTATCACAACATGGCAAATGTTTTAGAAGCTGCAAATTATTTAATGAAAGTGAATTCAGGAGTCTAGAGATCCTAACAGACAGCATTATGCCCAGTAAAAGTATCCTTCTTTTTCAAGTGTGATGTGAACTCTAAAAATGTCAGTCTTGGAGAATCAAGTGACAAGATCCAGCTCTTTAACACTGAAAGGAGAGCTACAAGATGTATTGCTAAAAACATGGGCTGATGTTTTGACCTTTGTTGAGTTTCCACCCTCAGTTCTTTACAATGGCATTTGGCACACAACTGCAAAGACTTTATCGTGTTGGGATAAACTGCAGAAGTTTTTCTTTCTGCATACAGCACACCTTTAAAAGGAGTCAGACACATAGTATACAGACTTTCATGCTTGAATTCCACATAGAATTACTTCCCTTTTTGTCAAATCCAACCAACCCATCATAAAAGTAAAAACACAATTTTGTTGACTTGGACAGGAATATAATCAGCTTAATGTAAGATGTTTATCAGAGAAACAACTGAACCAGTCCCTTGGGGGCTTCAAGTTGGAAAATAAAGAACATGGTTTGGGGCTTCTTTTGCTATTTTCTTGGAAAAGTTGGCTATATTGAAATATGGGGTGAAGCAATTTAATATTTTGTTGCTCCTTACTCTGTACTGCTAATCTGAACCCCTTGAACTAATGCCCTGTTGATTCTACTTGTAATTTGTTGCTAATTGAATAAAGGATCTATTCAATAAGAAGAAACATAGTGGAAAAGAACCTATTTTAGGGTTTAATGAAATTCAGTACCATAAAAGAGTTTAATTGCATGTTCAGAATTAACTATATCAAAATAGCATTGCCTATGATTGAAAGATTTCACCTCCAAATAGCAAAACTCTCATCAGATTACACCCCCTAATACACTTTCAAGATTTAAGCAGAAATATCATAGTCATAACTGTTCTCATAGCTGTTCTCCACTCAGACTGGATTCAGAAAATGAACCCATACATGAAGTATTAAAGGTCAGAGAGACCCTCTCAGTGTAATTACCAGGATTAGAGGGACTCACTTCTGAAAACCAGCAATCCAAAACCAAGTTTGCTGTGGCACAAAGCAAAGATGCTGTAAAAACATAATACCAAAAATGCCTTGCTTACTGATGACTACGTCTGCAAAAATAATGTCTGCCAGTGCAGTAAATTCTTGTTCTACCAAGAAGTTACAATGTGTTTGAAGTATGCTTCCAAAACACAAAATGACTTTATTTCTTTCCTGAATATATAATTTTCCAAAGACCAATTGACAACATTTTGTTTTATTCTTAACTTCAAAGACCAGAAAAAAAATTATCAGCCTTTTTACATTATTTAAAGTAACTCACAAAATGAAACATTTTGATGTGGAAACTACACACAGTAGTTCTTCACATTAATGGTATGAAGCAGCAGATGCAGATTGCTGGTTAGAACTGGAAAAAAATCTGTCAATATACAAATCGAAGATCTTGGGATATGCACTTTTACTCTACACATCTAAAACAGGAGGAAAACACTAATCAAATTCTTTTTTTTATGCCCTGTGTGTTTGAGATTAAGGAATAGACCCTTAAGATGTTACAATATGTCCTGAACTGTGCCTTTAAATTGATTCATTCTGACTCATTTAAATTTAACTTCATTAGCTAACCCATTTTTCAGTGAAATCTAAAGTAATGTAATATGATAAAGTATTTTATATTAAACACGAAGGTTTAGACAAAAATACACGACATTTCAAAAAAATCTAAATCATGCTTTGTGGATGAATCAATTTGTAGTTATGGCAAAAAACGTTTCACAAATTTAGCTGTAATTCAACACTAGCCCTTTCATTTCTAAAAATGTGATTGACCTCAATTTTAAGTCTCTTGTTTTCAGCCGGATGCAGTTTGTCTCCTTTGGTGCTACATGCTTCAATGAAGGATGCATTCTGGAAGGCCTTTGCACTTCCAGCAGAGGGCTGGAAAGGGTCACTGATTCTAATTCATTACTGTTGCAAGTAGGCACATCATCTAATCCTTTAAACTCCAATTTAAAGCTAGTTAGGGTTTGTTTTCTGTCTCTGTTTCTTTAATTTCCTGCTTAAATTTTCTTATTGCTTGTTCATATCCATTTGTTGCTTTAGCTTTAAAATTTTGTTTCCTTTTGCCTTCTTTTGTCTCAGGCAAACAAGCAAAACTCTTCTGTCACACTACAGGCTTTCTATTCTTATACTCATCTTCATGGCCCCACTCCCCACACACAACAGAACTCAGTGGTTCAACCTGTTTGCATCATTCCAGATGCAGATATCGCCAGGTCTTTGTAAAATGTCATTGTACTTCTTCATCTTTAGCCATACATCATTTGAGACATCATAACACTGCATTTTCTTTCTTATGGCTACATTGTAGTGCAGCCTGTTGTCAACCTGAGATTACAGATACACCCAAGGATAATTCTGTCACTGTCTTTTTTTGCTGAGCAGCTTCAATGTTGGAGTTCTGCTGTTAGTCAAGTGTGAGACATTTTTTCAGTGCAATTACATTGCATCTTTTTTCAGCGGTAGCAAGCCTTAAAATCACCTAACCCCTCCTTCCATTCCAGTTCACGTTGAATAGATACCTTCCAATTTCATGTCATCAGCAAAATTAACCTGTTTATTTACTTTTTGGCATCAAAGTCAAAAATTTGTTGGATACTTAGCCATTCTGATGCCAGTGTTTGGGGAATTTCATTAGTAATTTCTTTCTTTTCCAACACGTGCATTTCTGTCACCTGCTGGCTTTTGCTTATCTGCTAATAGGAAAAAAAAAATGCAGTAAGCTACTTTTTTTTTTCTATTCTATTACTCAAAAGCAGATGAACAGATATTTGGATTCATGCAGATTTGCTTTTTT